GGCGGTGTAACACGGGGACGGGATCGGGGGCGGTTTTCCCTTTGTTGTCATTTCATTTATTTCCCTAATTTTCCCTGACAAAATGTGCTACTTTATAATTAGAAAATGCAGTTAAGCGTGAATGTAAATGAAAGGACGTAAATGACATATTGCAAAATAGTTGTCACTTTATATCTAAACTCCCAGAAGCCCAGGAGCCGGAAGCCCCCCGGCAGCTCCTGCGGGGATGGATGTGGTCGGAACCTTCGGTCCAGATCCAGACGGGACAACCTGCGACGGGCGACCCCTGAACCCAGCGATGCGCAGCCGGGCAGACGAAAACCGACGGGCGAATGCTCCGGTCACCCGTGAATTATCGATGTAAACGTCCCTGCTCGGCTTTTAATGGTGTTATTAAAACAACAAAGTACTCCGTGTCTAAAATAATTAACTTGACTAATCTTGTTTTCTCAAATGGGCTCTCTATGCATCACCAACTTAATACTCTAAAAAAGAGGGTGTCGGGTGCAGATAAACCGTTACCCACACTCGGGCTCGGATGCCGTCACCTCCCACCTTCTCCCTTCACACGGATTGGATCTGTCACTAACTCCCTATTTCTAGGCAGCACCCAATTTGGCTCCACAGCTGTGTGCTCGCACATTGCAAATGCACTTGCTAATCACCCCCGTTCTCGGTGTGTGAGCCCTAAAAATACACTCCGCGCCCGCCGCCCTTCCCTTCAAACACCGGGGACACATGCCATCGCCTGGAGCCCAGCCCAGCCCTCCTCAGGATGAAAGGTGTAAGGCCGGGTTCCGGCAGCCACGCAGCGAACCCTAATACATAACCAACGTCCCTATTTGTGCAACCACCACCCTTTCATGGAAACGCGTTCTGGAAAGTGTGTCCAAAACCCAGCCGTCCCCGAGAGATGCAGCTGGAGGTCCCAAATGGGTCTTCGCCAAAGGGGGCGAAGACAGCGAACGAGCACGACACACATCGCCATCCTGGGAGCCTGGGCCCCAGCCCCCGTCCCTGGGGCAGGTACCGGGGTGTGTGAAGGGGTGAGGTAGGGAGGGGTACTCACCGGAGGTCCGTCAGCACCGGGCATTCCTGGGAGGCCTGGTTTACCCAGGGGGCCCTAGAACAAACCAGACTCCATGAGCAGACGCCCAGGGTCTCCCTAGGCAGCCCATCTGCTCCACACCTCCCAAAGGGACTTTTCAACACTTCTGCTCAAGCCAAAGGATGCTCAGAGGTGCCCTGCCCACTCTGGCTTGGAAGCTTCCAGCACACGGAGCACCAGTGAGGGTGGGTCAGCCTTTGCTGTTTCCAGGGCCTTCAGGTTTAATAACTGGAACCAGCGCTCCGGCCAGGTGAAGGCAGGCCCCAGGCCTAGCAAGCTGTTTGAACAAGCCCCCAGGGGTCACGCTGCACTGAGAATCACCCCTTAGAGGCCCCTCTGCTCCTCCCACCAAGGTGTTCCCGGTTCTCTCCCCAGCACCTGGGACTCAGGCGCCAAGGATATATTTGGGAAGTTGCCAAATTTAGCAAAAGCAAAGCAAACAACAAAACAAGATTCCCAGTTAAATTTGGGTTTTAGACAAGCATAAACAGTTCAAATTTAATGGGGAGCCCCATATGTACTCTTCTTCCTAAATCTGGCAACCCTATAAAGGCTAGAGAATGAATGAATGAGGGAATGAATGTGGGAATGAATGAGGCAATGAATTTATAAATTAAAGAATAACAAAGACCCAGGGCCTTTCTCTGGGCCTGTGTGCTCAGTGCTTAGCAATCTGAGCTTCCTCTGCTCTGGGTAAGACAAAGGCTCGCATCCCAAGCTGGCGATGCCCAGTGCTCCTCCCAGGCCTGGACTGCACCCTGCAGGCAGGCAGTGGTGCCCTATGCCCAGTTCAGCCCACCTACCTTCTCTCCCGGAGGACCGATGGCACCCTGGGGGCCTGGAAGACCCTAGGAAGGGAAGAGTAGGGTGGAATGGTCAGGAACTGGTTGGCTCAGAACCTTTCCCTGCCATCATCCACCTTTTCCCGACTCTCTCATCAGGCACCAACCCAGGTTCTAGGCCACCTTTGGGCTGCAGGTCCCTTTGGGCCGGACCAGCAGCACGGGGTAGCACTCAGTGGCTGCTCAGGCTCAGGGCACCACACTGAAGACCTGCACTTCCCACTGCACGCTGCCCAGAAACCCGCCCCCGACTCACTTACCTGGGCACCTGGATTACCCTGTTGTCCTGGGGGGCCGGGTTCTCCCTGGGGACCCTACAAGAAACGAAAGCAAAGGCACTGAATGGGGCTCTGGAGGGTGGGCAGGGGAGACTGTGCCTCTTTCTTTGGGGGCCTGGGTCCCCCATCCTGGCCTCTATCCTTTCATCTGCTCTCATGCCCCACACAAGCACCAGGGAAGGCTGCCCAATGGGAAAAGGTGGGCGACCCAGCAGCAGAGCATGGAACCAGACTAGCACCTGCAAGGCTCTAGACCTTGGCCCTGAGCACTCATTTGTTTCTACAAATGCACCCCAGACAGCTGCCAGGAAAGAAGGTGAAAGGAACTGGCGAGGAGATATTCCATTCGGCAGAAAATTCCCAAACCATCCCACCACGCTACAATCCGCCAGTGCCCTGAGAATAGGTGTGAGGCCTAAGGCAGGCCTTGGACAGGCTCATCACAGCTCCTGGCCCAGTGAGGAAGGACATCCCCCCCTCCTGCACTGGGCTGATGCGGCCCAGTCTCGGGGTGAGCTCTCCCACAGGGCCTGCTCCACCTGTGGCGTGGGGCTGGGGGGCTGGGCCTCTGCCTCACACCCCATCTGATTTTGAGGATGATAGATCACCTAGGCCTGGCTAGGAGCACCCTGGCGGGGGATCACTATGAGTGGGTCTTGGGGACCCCAGAGACTTACCACATTTCCTTTCGGGCCCGGTTGACCATCCATCCCTGTCACACCCTGGATTAGATTAAAAACGGAGACTGAATGCTGAAGAATCAATGCCCAGAAGGAAAATCTGCTCAACACGGCTTGGCCCCCTGCCCACAATGTGTCAGAAGATGGCATGACTTTGGGGAAGGGCAAGGGCTTGACCCCGGATAAATCCTAAAGCCTTGATCGTCCAAGGGTAATGGAGCTGCCAGGCCCCA